AATTACGAAGTTCTTGAGCTGTTGTTGCTGTTAATGCTGCCATAATACCTGTAATTGTTGTACCAATATTTGATCCTAATGTAAATGGATACATTCTTTCAATAGTTATTATTCCAAGACCAACAAGTGGTGTTAAAGTAGATGTAAATATTGAACTACTTTGTACAAGTATTGTAAATATACAACCAACCTAAAAATTCAAATAAATTAAAATTTATTGACTTGATTTTTTTTTATTTCATTACTCCAATAGCTAAATATGGTGTTAAATGATGAAAAACACCAGGAAAATCAGCATTAACTGTTTTATGTATGACTGTACTGATTGTTCCTTTGAGCATTGATTGAAGAAGTTTAACAAGTAAAATAAGACATGCACAAAGAGAAACTAATGAAAGAACAAGAAGAAGAAGGCCAACACTCCAATCAGGCCATGAAATCTTTGAAAATATAAATCCACAATGATTTTCTGGTAGTAAAATTGATGTTGCATTTTCATTTGTTACATTCTCATATGAACAATAACGTTTAATAAGTGAAATATCAGATTCAACTGATCCAAGAGCAATATTTTGAATGACTTTTTCATCTAACTATAACAAAAAGAATATGTCAAAAAAATCAAAATAATTTTAAATATGTATATATATTTTTTTTCTTACTTGAATTATTCGATGTGTTAATGGTTTTGTAAGTACATTTAGAAATTGTGGATTTGAACCAGCTTTTCGATCAAGACTAATCGTACGAGTAATTGCTTCAGTTAGATGAAATAATAAACCTAATCAAATATTTTTATCAAAAATAAAAATATGTTTAATATTCATAATATATTTACCTGATGCAAGTTCTAATGGTAGTAAAACGATAACTGTCACCCAATTAAACATATCATGAACAGTAGCACCAGCAAAAGCTCGACGAAATTCATCTCTTCGATTCTAAAAATATATTTAATTTATTATATATATTTCAATATATGTGTTTGTACTAACAGATTGTGTTAATGCAACAATTGTATTTGTTACAGATGTACCTTTATTCGAGCAAAACAAAATTTAGAAATTTAATTCAACAAAGAAAAAAACATACCAATATTAGCTCCTAAAATAAAATGTAATTAATTATAATTTTTTTTTATAAAGAAAAGAATCGTCTTACCCATAATTATTGGAATTGCTCTTCTTACAGGAAGAACTAATGTAAAAATAAATAAACAGCATAGAAATATATTTAAAATTTAAGTGGATTTCTATACTCGAAGATGAAACCATTGAAACAACAATTGATGTTGATGTTGATGAACTTTGTACAATAACTGTTGCTAATAATCCAAGCATAAGACCAGCAATAGGATTCGAAAGAATAGCACCTTCTGTAAATGCTTTTCCAGTTATTTTACCTAATTTTTATATAAGACAAAGAAAATTGTTTTATTAAAATGAATAAAATCATATTTACCTCCAACAAGTCGAAAAGCTGAACTCATTATATCAAGTGAACAAACAAAAATATAAAGCAAAAATAATAAACCGATTACTTTTCCAATTACTAATAGAACATGTTTTATGCGTTCGACATGATTCAAGTCTAGAGAAGACCAAAGAAAAAATTCATATGCCATTCAATAATATTTTATTCATAATTTACCTTTCCATTGACTTTCTTTATGTTCGCTAATACTAACCACAACTGAATTCCATTTATCAACAGGAGGAATTTCATTTTTTAATACATTATTCTCTATCATCATCGTTTGTAATATATTCTACGTGGAAAATGAATAATCAATATCTTAAATAGTATTATTTTCAATCATGCATTATGTCTCTGGACTTTGGAATGTAAACATTCGTTGAAAATATGACGAAAATATAAAATATAAAGGTTTGATATAAAGAAGTCATCTTTGATATGATTAACTTGTTTTTTGTTTGCAATAGTGATTTTGTGCACTTTACATAAAAATAACCTTTGTTTTCTTATTCAATAATAATCGAAGTGCTTTTTGACATTATTTGAAAGTAGGGTATACTCATGCATTAGGGAATTTCGTTTTTCTTTTTTGTTTATAATTTACTTATGTAAACATTCTGAGTTACTTATTAAATACCAAATGTGTTACGGTATTCAACGGAATAAAATATTTCCTTTTTACTAATCACTTGAATTTGGTATTCTATCATTGTAGAAAACAACATATAGAAACATGTTGCGTATACATGAACAAATCAAAATATCAATTTCTTATGTTATAATGTTGTAATCTTTCGATTCTCGAATGAAAACTTTCGATCAAATAACGAAACATGAAGAAATGCATTCGTTCTAATTTATCTCAATTTGAAAAAACATTCTAATCTATCTTGACCTGGGTTTTCGACATATCTTCCCTAGAGTATCATTAGTAACTTTTTAACTAGCAGATTCTGTTTTTTTTTTGTCTAAAATCTAAATATGTACATGTACCTATTCTGACTACTCGACTGAGTACACATTTAGTATTCCTATATTAGTCACTATAGATCCTTTTTCTATGGCAACTAATTATCATATATGTTAGGTATGCAATAGATTCAGTCGATGACTAGTATGCAGGTAATTGGCACATATGCATACTTACTGAACTCTTAAATCATTGTGATTTAAAGTGACGACTGATCGGAAGTAGACAATGAATTAATCTAGCTTGCTAAATAAAACTTTGTTCTGTTTCTACTTGTTAATCAATAACACGAAAAACATTTCAACTGATATTAAAAAAATGTGTGATTTACAGTACCTAAGTATGCATATATTAAGAGCTAATCCACTTCATTTTACAAGCTTTTTTTAAAATGGAACCACTCTTTTACAGTATAATGAGTGGTGCGAAAACATCCGGACAATATTTTGTCTAATTTTGATCTGCTTGAAAATAGTTTAGACGACTGAAAAATTATGATTTAGGATCGGAACTCAGACATAGTATACTGATTTTTGCTTCACAGTAGTGAAGGAATACTTCCAAGTTTTGAACAATTGATTGTACCAGGAAGAAACTAATTTTTGCTAACTCCAGAAATTCTTTAGCGTAGATGTTAAGCACTATTGATCTTGGTAATTTTATAGAGCAGACAGTTGTTTACAGAATATGATTTTCTAACTAAACTGTTGCTTTTACCTAATTGAAACTATAAACATTTTTTCTCAGAGACTACATTCTATGTAAAACGCCCTTTCGTCAAAAAATCAATTTTTTAAAAAAGTAACATGATAGAAGAACAACAGTTCAGATATTTTATCGAAAGACACAAAGAATTTCAACTATAGCATAACTCTAGAGTAAAAACAGAAGATTCTTGAGCTCATATCCAAAACAAGTACAAAGTTCTGGTTCCAAATCACAGTGTTTCATCTACTTAGAATACTTTCAAGTGAGTCAAAAATTAAACAAAGATTTTGTCTAGAAGCTTTTACAGCACTCGTCGGTAATTACTGTACTAAACTTGAATACAAAAATGTTTAGTTTGTTTCAAATATTTTCATGTTAAAGATTCAACTCATATTACTAAAGCAAAGATTCACATTCATTATTTACTTCTAATATATTTTTATTGTTGTTTAGAAAAGAAAAATAGAAATCTCAGATGATTTACTTACTTTGAAATATGTTTACTTAGTTAGAATATCGAAGCTTTTATACTTTCAATAGAAATTTAGCTAAAATCAATTAAAACTCATCATTCTTTTGTAGACTTATATCAATCTTACTATGACCTTTGCTATGATTATAATACACGCCTTCAGAAGATTAAAAAAATATTTATCTAAGGTGTCTTCATCTATAATAAGAAAAATACGAAGAGAAGTTTTCTCCGAACTTCTATCAATCTCTGACGTCAGTAGCATTACGATTGCATAAATCCTCACTCAAATTTTACGTATCAATAAGGCGATATCGTTTGGCATGTTATAATAATTCTGTTCCTTTAGTTCTATTCATTGAATAAGGTCAAAATGTGACGTTTCTCGTTGTAAAATAAAACTGATGTACTTAGACAAAATAGACTAGAAATTTCTAATACTGGTGCAAAGAAAACAAGAAGGTAGTAGTAGTTGTTGTAGGATCAGAAAAAATTGTATGAGCAGGTGTTTAATCTCCGTTTGAAGCTGAAATATAGGCACTTATTGCATCAATAATGCAGGATTATTTCATTTCTAGAAGAGATTTCAAGGACTCTGGAGAGGCTCAAAGTTTTCAGGCAAGGATTGGATCCACCCCAACTATCCCGTGGCTTCGCCACTAGTTCATAATAACAGTTGGATAAATTTTAATCCTTTTTCGTATTATTATGAGAAGAAATATTTTGTCTCATAATTATTTATAATTTTATGTCTAAAAAAAGTTATTTTCAACAACGAAATGTCACATTTTAATCTTATTCAATAAATTAGGATCAAGAGAGAGAATTATCATACCATGTTAAATTATTCATCAATCATTATAAAAAGAGAAGAAAATCATATTCTGTTTGCTTCTCTGTCCCCATTGTTATACCTGCAAAATATTTTGAAAAACAAAAAAACATAAATTGAATTATTCATTGAAATGTCTTTTGATAAATAAAAGAATTAATTCAAAAATAAGAAAAACATAAACAGCATGACATGATTTTAAAATCAAGGATTAAATTTTTGTTGAATTCAATTAATTATTGTTCTTGAATTGAAGCTAGAAAACTTTCTCATATTATCAATCAAGATTTGATTCATTTATCATCATTTAAAAATTTGCTTTTTCAAAGAACAACGAAAGAAATGCAATTTCTATATGTAATCAAATAATTCTACCGAAAAATAATCCTTATTCACCTTGTATGTAAATTATCTGTAGAGTAAATGTGCGACATCTCTCTAACTTTAGATTTTAGTTGGTCAATGTTTTTAAATTAACTTATATAAATACTTTTCTTCTAAAGACATTCTACCTATTTTTTCTTTCAACTAAAAGGACAAACATGAATCTTCTATTCATTTCTGCTAGAAGAACATTTCAATCTTCTTTCTCTTCACAACGTTTTCTCTTACATACGTCTCGATATCTATCAACTGAAAATACTACTGATATTCATCAATTTAAAAAACAAGATTTAAAAGGTGATTATCCATCATCTTCTCCTCGTCGTCAATATCGTTATTATCTTTTATCAATTGCTGCTGGAGCATTAATTGGTGCTGCTTATACTCTTCGTCAATCACAGAAATATGAAGGTCTTATGCCTGAATATATATCCAATCCGGAATTACTCGAACGTCAAGCTATGGAAGCTCGACCATTACCACCACCAGTTACCAAACATGTTACATTTGATGAACCACCAAGAGAAAATTTTCCATTTAAATTAACACTCTATCAATATGTTACATGGTTAGTTAGTTTTTCTTTTTTTATTTTAAATAGTCTTCTAATTAAATTTCTACTTTATTTTTTTTATCTTCATAGTCCATTTTGTTGTAAAGTTCGTGCATATCTAAACTATAATCGTATACCATATGATATAGTTGAAGTCAATAGTGTAATGCGTTCCGAAACTAAATGGTCCATATATAAAAAAGTACCAATAGTTGTTGTTGAAAATGAATATATTCAATTAAATGATTCAAGTATGATTATATCATCAATTGAATCATATTTACGTATGCCAACAAAAACATTTAAAAATATATCAAAATTATATCAATCAATTATTGAAAAAGATGAAAAAGGAAAATTATTATTTAATTATCCAAATAAATATTTTCTTGTTGAACCATTATTAAATGATCGTTTAGATCCAACAAAACAAGTACAAACAGAAAAAACAAAACATGATGCTATAGATAATAATAATAATAAAATACAACCAATAGATAATATTCAACCATCGAAATCATTTTTTGGTAATCAAAAAAAAAACAAACGATAAATTCTAATTCTTTTGTTTTTTTCGTTTTTAAGCTAGACTTTTTTCAAAATCTAAACCTCAACATGAACAAGGTTTAATTAATATTGGTTCAGGAAATGTAACTAAGAATGAAACTACTTCACAAACTCCATATATTAAATCAAGTCAACAATATAAATTAGAACGTCAATGGCGTGAATGGGTTGATACAAAATTTGTTCATACATTATCACCAAATATTTATTGTACTTTTAAACAATCACTTGATACATTTCTATGGTTTTCAAAAGCTGGTGATTGGGAACAAATTTTTCCATGGTATCAACGTTGGATTATTGTTTATATTGGTGCTATTGTTATGCGAGGTGTAGCTATACGTTTGAAAAAAAAATATAATTTAAATGATAATGTTAGACTTTCTTTATATGAATGTGCAAATGAATGGGTTAAAGCTGTTGGAGATAAAAATTTTCTTGGTAAGACAAAAATTTTATTTAATTATCAATAAATAATATTTTAATTTCAATATAAAGATTTGAAATTTAAGAATAAAGATAAGTTTTTATTCTCGTGAAGTAGTTTATATTAAATTGATAGTTGATTTTTTCTTCTTGAGATAATTTCATGTTGAATAAAGATTTATTTCTTAGAGATTCGATTATTTCAATTACAAATCAAATAGAACATAAAATGTTCAAGACTCCGAACTTATCTTGAACAATGAAAAACTACAATCATTAGTGATGGTAGTAGTGCTTGAAAGTTAATGAAAAGCTATGTGAAATATTACGATTTTATCTAAATTTTAAAAATAATTCAAAAGATAGTTGGATTTTATCACTTAACTACAGAAAAATTTCTCTTAATAAACAACCTGTTATAATTATGTGTCCATTCATAAGAATTAAACTTAAGAAAACAATTTCAAAAATTTCACTAAACATGTTCATTGCCCAAAATATGATACAGAGTGATAAAAACCATTCTTTTTTTTTTTAATTTTAGGTGGATCTGAACCAAATCTTGCGGATTTAAATGTTTATGGTGTTTTAACAGCTATTCAAGGTTGTGAAGCATTTCAAGATCTTCTAAGTAATACAAAAATTCAACCATGGTTTGAACGTATGAAACATGTAGTTGAACCTCATTTTGCTGATAATCAAATTCGTGCTACTACTTAAAAGTTTCTTTTTTCTATTTGAAGAACACAAATAAAAAAAAAATCAGATAATTCAATTTATTGTTTATTTGATTAGGATGAAAATATTAATAAAATATTATTTTAGATAATACAGTAGATCAAATAACAACAAAAACAAAATGACGATTATGGAATGTGCTGGTTGTACACTTATTGCATATGGTGTACCATTTTCAATGTTTATATTTACAATAGCACATCATCCATTTCGTGTTATTATTGCAATGACAAGGTAAAGAAAAAAAAATATAACTTTTATTTTCTTTCATTTTATTGTGTAAAACTTATTTAGTGCATTTTTTTGGCTTTTATCATTACTTTTATCATCATTTCTTTGGTTTGCTGTTGTACCATTACGTAATCAACTTGCTTTTGCAGTTCCATTTGCTGTAATATTTCAAGAAATATTTCGATATTTATTTTATCGTATTATTAAGTAAAAATGTTTTCAATATTATTTATATTTTTTTTTTGTTCTTATTTTTTCTTTTTTGTATTAGAAAAGCTGAATTTGCTTTACAAAAAGTTCAAATGCAAGAACTAACAGACAAAGGAATGGTATTTGATCGATTTGCTGTAGCTTATGGTACAATTAAATTTTAATTTGTTTCAAACTGAAATTTTTTTTTTCTTTTTTATTAAGCTTCAGGATATGGTTTTGGTTTAATTAGCGGAACATTTGCTATTGTTAATGTACTTAGTGATATGATTGGTCCTGCTACCATTGGTATTTTTGGACATTCACAAAATTTTTTTATTGCTACAGGTAAAAGATTAAGGTCAAGAAGGATATAATTCTCTTTTTTTTTATGTCGTTCGAAAGAGAGATATATATACATAAAGATAACAAATCAGTCGTGTTCGATATAATGTACATATTTATTCATCTTAGTTTTCTATTAATGCATCTCATATATATATATGTCCTTTTCGATACATCTTTTGTTCTTTTTTTTTTAAATCGACTATATAGTTTGGTATTAGTTTAGTATCTATCTAAGAGTAATGAACGAAACAAAATTTCCAAGGATCGACCGTCAGATAAAAAGCAGGCACTTTTTTTCATTCATTAATAATGTAAGAATTATATTTTTATTATGTAAAATTGTACATAGAACTGAATTTTCAGTGATAAATAATGTATATGATTCATTTTCAAGTCGTATCTCAAAATTATATTTGTCGAAGAGAATTTCCGAGGTTTTCGAGCGTTCTATATCATATTCTATAGATCAACTAATATATTTTAATACAACATCAAATAGAGATTATTCGACTACTGCTTTGATATTAAAAAATATATTTGATTCAAAAAATTTTCTAGGTGTACTGTAAATGATACTCATATGAAAAAAATATTGTTGTTACATTAAGATGAATAAGTATTTCAATATTGTAAGTCATAAGTAATTTTTCAGTTCCATGTGTGTCTTTTTTTTTTGAAAAAGCGAAGGAAAGGAAATATTCTTGTTGATGTTGATTTTTTTTTTTAAATATCAATTTATTTATATTAAATATTTATCTTTTAGCATTCCTCACATTATGTGTTATTCTTTTAAATACATTTTGGAGTGTTATTTTTTTTACATCCCTTGATAAGGGTGGTATTCATAGTTTTATTGGTCCTGGAACTGTTCTTCTTACACATATGCTTTTTTCTTGTATTGTAAGTGGTTTTTTTTTTTTGTTGAAATATTTTAATGAATATTAAATTATTTCAGACATTATTAAATCGAACACCAACACCAACTTATTCAATATCACTTGTTATTAGTTATGCACTTCTACTTGGCATGATAATATATACATTAGTTTTACGTGGAATTAGTATAAATAATATTCGTCGACGAGTAAACTGAGAATGAATATCTATTATTTATAACATTTCTTACTTGTTGTAAATTGATTATGAATTTGTTTTGTTTTTTTATTTATTGAAATTTCAAATTATTTTCTTTTGTTCGTTTCTTACTTTAATCTATATATTCATTATTTTGCATGATTCCAAACAAAAATAACAGAAAATAATATGTAGACAAATTTAAAAAAAAAAAGGCAAACAATATAAATGTAATTGATAAGCAATAAAATAAAATGAACTTACCATCAAAATGGTTTTTCTAGATGTTTTTTTCACGTATTTTACGTTTTCATGTCGATTTTATCTGTAAAACGAGACATGATTTTTCGTTTGGTAAGATATGTATGTGAAATCTAGAACCAGTCTTTGTATTATGTTTCTTTTTTCAGTACACAACACATATAGAATGGCATCAATTTCAGTGTCAAAGAAAAAAATTGCAGTTATTGGTTCGGGTAATTGGGGAAGTGCATTGTAAGTGTTTGTATTCTTCCTTATTTGTTTTTGAGTTTTAATTTGATTAAATAAAGTGCTAGTCATGTTGGTGAAAAAGTTCGTGAATTAAAAAGTCAATATCATGAACAAATTTTAATGTGGTGTAAAGAAGAAATATTAGATGATGGAAGTAAATTAAGTGAAATCATTAATCGAGAGCATAAAAATGTCAAATATTTACCAAATAAAAAAATTCCAGACAATATTATTGCTGTACCTGATCTTGTTGAAGCAGTTAAAGATGCTGATATACTTGTTTTTGTTATACCACATCAATATGTAAAAAATACTTGTGAACAAATAAAAAATAAAATAAAAAAAGATGCATTTGCTTTAACATTAATTAAAGTTAGAAAACAAAGAATTTTTTTTTTTTCTTTGTTCTATTATTTAGTTTTATTTTCAGGGATTTCATGTCGATGAAAAAACAAATGAACTTTTACTTGTTTCACAGATTATTGAAAATATCTTACATATTCCATGTGCTTGTATGATGGGAGGTTTGTTAAATAAAAGTTTGATTTATTAGTTTAATATATATATTTACATGTATTTATTTTATTAGCTAATATTGCTAATGAAGTAGCTGAAAAAGTTTTTTGTGAATCAACTGTTGGTTCTCGTAATGATAAACATAGTGAAATAATTCGACAATTAATTGATACATCTCATTTTCGTTTACGTTTTTTTCCTGATATTGAAATTATTCAAATGCTTGGTGGTTTAAAAAATATTGTTTCAATGTTAGTTGGTTTTTCAGAAGGTTTAGGTGCTGGTTTTAATACTCGAGCAGCTGTATTATTTTTATTTTATTTATGATTTAAAAAAATTTATTTATTGTATTTAGATTCTTCGATTGGGTCTTCGAGAAATGATTAATTTTTGTCGTTTATATAGAAAAGAATCCACACCAGAAATTTATTTTGAATCATGTGGTATAGCTGATTTAATAACATCATCATTAGGTGGAAGAAATTATATGGGTGCAAAAAAAATGGCTAAAACAAATAAATCATTAGAAGATATTGAAAAAGAACTTAATGGACAATCATTACAAGGTCCAAGTACAGCAAAAGAAGTTTATCATTATCTTCAAACGAAAAATTTATTAGATAAATTTCCATTATTTCGTGATGCTTATCTTATTTGTGAACAAAAAATAAAACCACATGTATTTATCGATAACTTACCGACACATCCAGAATTCGATCAAAAAAATCGAAAAAGATCATAAGTAGAGATTACCTGTTTTTTACTATAAATTTTGTTTACTTTAAAAACAAGTAATTTATCTCTCAACAAGCCATTTAGTAACGATTTACAACTGATTATTTTTAAACAGTTGTAATAAAAATTGACTTTTTATTTTTATTTTTGTTTTCTGTTATTTTGCTTTTTTTTTGTTTCTTATATTACTCATGCATGTTTCAGGTATTTATAAATAGTATTAGTTAAAGAAAAAGTAAATAATTTCAATGTATAAGAACAATGTTGAATATAAAATCTGATTAAAAAACAGAAGGAATTTATTACAAGTATATTCATGAAAAACGTTTTCTTTTAGGAAAAATACAAGGAATATTAATGTTTTCTTTTGATAGTAATAAAAAAAAAGAAAGAAATTTAGAAAATGTTGAAAGTATTTTAGTTTTGACTCAAATAATCTTAAATCAAAAGAATTTGTTTCAGTAGTTTTAACAATAATACTACCAAAATAACTGCTTCGAGTGATATGAAAATTATAAAAGTATTTGTATATCACGAAATATAAATTATACTCTAAAAGATTATTAAGAAATCAATTTCCTATTGTTATAAGAGTTCAAAATACATATGCGCTGTATCACTCAACGTCCTTAGAAGGTGGTCAGAGCATGATAAAATCCAACATTTTTTTTCTTTTCATCAAATGTATCGAGAGTCTTGTACATGACCTTTAGATCAAGATAATAATCTTTTTTTTTTTTAAATAAAAAACTTCTTGTTTCAAAAATTTGTATTTAACATATGAAATATTGTCTGTCATCTATTCGAAATAACAAAAGAATGCTTTGATTTTTCCATTGCACATTAATTCATAAAAATTTTTATTCTTTTCAAGCAATTTTGTAATATGTTACTATTGTATGAATTTGTTCAATTACTGGAAAAATTCAAACAATAAGAATTATTAATGCTATAACAAGAATGAGTTGTACTAGTTCTCTATTTCTGGCAGAATATTTAATTCTCGTTTGTGACAGGATTTTTACTAGACTTCTTTATGATATAAAGAGAATCAAATCATGACAAATACTGTAAAAAAAGGTAGGCAATGAAGGTGATTAAAGAATTATTCAGGTCAACACGTTAACACTTCTAAAAATGAAGAGGAGGAAATAATGTTCCATAGTATTTTGTCGATTTAAAATCTATTTTTATTATAATCTTGAAATAATTACTATTAGAATTAATATAAGAAAAATAAATGAAAATAAAAACGGCTTATTGATATTAATCAAAATAAAATACGCAATTGAAATAATAATGAGAAAATTTATTGAATACAACTTTTTTTTAAAATTCTATTCGAAGGTCTACAATAAAACTAATATTTTATCTATATTAATGGCTGTTGTAATACATTATCATATGATTCATATGATATTGAATAGATTGAATCACAATTTATTGCTAATAAATTCATTTACAATATAGATTAAAGTATTTTTTTCTAAATTAATGTTAATTTTCGCAAAAAAAAGAGTCTCAATTATTCATTATAAATGTCAAAGTTTATAATATTAAGAAAAATCAAATCAGAGAACAATCTTAAAGACATACTCGAAGCATATAATCGGAAAGAAATACTTTTAGCTCATTTACTATTGCGTATATGTTTTTTTTTTGTTCATCGTTTTCAAGTTCATTTTGTTCTCTTCTTGTGAAAGCTTTCAGTTTAAAACTAATCATCATCACTCATATAATCCAGTTGCTTTCTGTTATCCTATGACACAAAATATATATCCTAATGAAATGATTACTCATAATTCTTTTTATATTTATTACAATGAATTAATTATTCATTAGTGAGTTACTAAAAATCTTGATTCAAATAGTATTTTTAAAGAAAGAATTACATCATAATTTAGTAACTTTCACAAAGTAAATTCTTTGGTTTTCATCGTATAGTCCGAAAAGTATTCTTTAGTTCTCTCAATATTTCATAGTTCCAATTATAGGAATTCTAGTTATATGAAAGCTATTATTTGCTTCTCTATTTTGAGATGCAGAAAAATGACTTTGTTAAAATATTCTTCGTTACTATTGAATCGAACATTTTTATTCGTTCACATTGCTCAAAGCATTTTTTATAATGAATATTATTTTTGGTATCTAGGATCGTTGATTGCATTCATCACTCTTCTTTAAATGTTGAGTAAAGCTTCAGATTTACAAAATGACGAAACATTATTTTTTAATTAATAAGACTATGGTACCATAGAAAAAAAGAACACCTACATAGTGCTTATCGACCTCATTAAGATAAAAATTTTTGATCTTTTAATTCTCTCAATTTATCTATGTAAATGAAATTTCAAATTTCTATTCTCTGATAGACTTCTGATCCCTCATTAAGTCACTTAATGTAAAGCTTTTATCCTACACTATGAGACTTAACAAAATATTTCAAATTACTCTTAGTCATATACGCTAATTGTAGACATATATATATATATCAGTTGGAGCAAAATTTTCACAGCATTCTTTCCTTTGGAACTATTCCAGCGGAGAAAAAATATATTATCCAAAATTTCCTGTCAGGAGAGACAGAATTTAGTTATCTACAAATTCCTATCAGCTTTAAATTCAATCGATGAAATGAAAGCAATTAATCGACTGTGGTATGTTGTTCAATAAATGTTCTGTACTTCTCATATTAATATTTCGTATGTTTTCAAGACGTTTTTTTCAAGCTCTAAACAAATATCTAAGAGGTTTGGTACTTGCAATTGAACTCCATGTCAAATATTCTTTCAGAGTTATCTACGATTATTTTATAACAATCTGTATATAGTTAATAAATACCCTCCATTTTAGCGTCTACAACAAGAAAAACAGGTTTTTTTATTTCCAATATTTGAACATTTTTTTTCAGCTCATTTATCTTTTAATACATTATTTAACTTTCGAATAGGAAGATAAATTAATTCTCTAGAAAATTCAACAAAAATGAACTTAATCTGGTCACAGGTGCCATTCTTAACACATTTATTTTTAAAACAAATAAATCCATAAAACAATGTCCCTATTCTTAAAATATGCCTTACTATCAAGTCATATGTTCTTTACAAAGCATCGCCATATGTGTTATCGACAAAACCTTTTAAAAACTGCTTAATAATAGTTTATGTTTTGAAAATGAAATATTCTCTTACATAGAAACTAAGAGATTACTCGAAATTGTGTAAGAAAGTAGTTGCCGTGTGTTGAATCTAATAAGACAACTGATGAAAATTTTCTTTATTCGATTATTTTAAACAGAAGCTAACAGGAGTTCGGAGAAAACAAAAATCTGTAATGTTATTTGACAGGAATGTTAGAAACTTGTTTATTATTTCTCTAACTAAATATCTTCAAAAGAAAGATTATTGCCAAAATTTTGCTACACTTGGTATAATTAACAAATCCATTATTTCTATCTGTCTTCACAATCATTCTTCCTTTTCATATATAAACAAAAAGCAACTAGTACCGATCACCAATAACACATCCTTTTTTTGTATATTATCATAGACGAAAATATTGAACTGGAGTGATAAAATAGCAAAGCTTTATTCTATAAAAATGTTTCTTTTTTTGTCTAGAATCATTCCAAATATTTATCTTATTTATAGTTGCGTAACAAAAGAAACAAGTTGAAAATGCGTCAATTGAAACGTTTATATTGTCATGAAAGTAAATTTTAACGTAGAAAATCATTCTTGTTAATTTTCTATTCTGAACAAAGATACACATGATTTCATTGATTAGCTACATGACGTAATTATACACTTTTCCTGTTTCATTTCTTCCAAACTAATTAATGTTCCTTGTGTAATTTATTACTTTTCCTGTCTTGGTATGCATGGAATCAGAAAATGAAAAAAATTTCATGCCCCCCTTCATGAATTTTATATCGGAAAATATGAAAAAAAAAAAGACATTTCCGATGATGAACGGACATAAAAATTGATGTATTTCAATTTCATTAATTCATATAAACCTCTTAATCAAACAAATGGACTAAAAATGATTATTTTTTTCTCAAAACCATGCAATTAAATTAATGAAAATGTCCATTTTAATTGATGAATTTGAAGTACATCAATTTTTACATCCGTTTCATCATTTTAATGCAATTCTTTTATTTTTTAAGCGCGTGGGTGGAGAAGTAACCCTAGTAACATTGCAAAAACTTTAGTTTAATAAAATCGTAATTTCTCTACAAGTTTCAATCGATATATCGTTGATTTTTTTTTTTTTTTTTATAATATCATTCTTTTTTTTTCGCTTAGAAATGCATGTAGTTTATATGAAACAGTTTATGATAACGTTAATCTTCAATTCATGAATAATAATTCCAATCAAACAAAGAAGCTTTACAATGTTTTATAAGGTATAAGGTTCCCTATTTGTTGGCGTATAATAAATGGTTCAAAAGATTTTTCTCTTTTTAGGACATTTTCAACTATGCTAAAGATTCTATTTTAGATTCATCTAATAGAGAATGTTTTGCTCTAAAAAAATCATATATATCTTGCATTTTTACATCTTTTATAATCCATAAAAAACTTGAAAAAAGGAACCCTGTATAAGAATCCTCCAGAATCGTACATGTATTGCATATTTTCATGAAATATTTAATAATTTATAAAAAAAAAAACGTCGAGACTACCAATTGAATAATTTTTTGAAATACCTCATACTTATAAAGCAAACACTTTTCTCTCAGTCTATATGAAGCAGACTTGCATTTGTTTTATTATTAAAGTAAGATGAAGACTTTACGAACAACATGAGTAAAAGCAGTTCAAATTTCGAGCGTTTGCTGTGCTTTCCTTAAGACTTTTTTTATGAAATTATTATAGTAACTTAACAATAGGCAGCATGAAACTTTGTTATATATCAACTTGTAGAAAAACACTTATTTTAAAACTCTGTAACCACATAAAACTTATCCGACCGATGATCAAAGCATCTTTTCACAAATTATTAAATATTTGATCCAAATATGCAATGCATGTAATTATATAAAAGATATATGATTTCGTACAGCTAAATATTTTCTTTTGAATGATTCTGCAAAAATCTTCAGTGCATTAGAATGTAATCTAAAAAGAGACAAACATTTCGAACCTTTGATTGTGCGCAATATGTTACTTATCAATATAGTTTAATAAAAATTTATTGACTGTTATATGATTTGAACACATTGATAATTACAAAACAGTCGTTGAGAAAATTAAGGTCATTTAGAACAATTCTGGATGAATGAATTGCATTTGAATGTCAGGAATGTTGTTAATTATTGACATCAATGCTCTACATGTAATAAGATGAAATACTTTTAAAAATCTCACGTACTGTTTTATCGCATGCAATATCATATTTGTCAAATAGCTTTCAAAAAAATTAAATTTATTAATATGTTTATCCATTTGATTAATTATACAAAATATTATATTATTGAGAACAATTCAAAAGTAATGGAGACGCTACTTTATTTCTATAAAGAAAATTTGAGAAAACCTTCACTTTGACTGTAGTGATAGAAGTAAACACAATAATTTATTTTTCTGTGACATTTAATTGTATTTCAGCTGATATCATAATTATCAAATTTCGATAAGGATTGGTTGTTAGTTATGATATGTGATAATAAAATTACATTCTAGTATCTTCGATACATATTTTCCTTTTGCTCTTTTCTGTGTTGATATTAGTTTTCTCTTCTCTCACACCACTAATTTACATGCAAAGCTAGACTTGAATCAAATGAATTAGATTGACATTCAACAATAGACAATGATGAATCTACAAAAGACATTTTGTCGTTTATCATTAAAATCTAAATTTGTTCACAGCTTCTTGCTATCACAATAGAAAGAATTGTTTTTATTAAATTATTTGGGTATGACCAACGGTAGGGTATCCCATAGGAAATAATATTTTTCCAGGAAGAAATATTTAATGAATTTTATACCAAAAAAAGATTGTCAAACATGAGATTCATTGGTACTAAATAGTAAGGATTTTATGAGCTTTGTAATATTGAATTTAAATTTTGAAAAATTTCATACATTTTTGGCATAGAAAATTAAGATGTCAGCAATTCAAAAATAGAGTAAAATTTTTTTTCTTGAATATTTTTACATGATTCGATAGAGCTCGTCGAGCGCTACAAAACTGTATGTATTGAAGTATTTTTACGCTATTTTTTTTTAAATAATACAGTTTTTGTAGCGCTCGACGAGCTCTATCGTATCATGTAAAAATATTCAAGAAAAAAAATTTTACTCTATTTTTGAATTGCTGACATCTTAATTTTCTGTGCCAAAAATGTATGAAATTTCTCAAATTTTCGTAAGTTCAATATTACAAAGTTCACAAAACCATTACTATTTAGTACCAATAAATCTCACGTTTGACGACCTCTCGTTTGGTATAAAATTCATTAAATATTTCTTCTTGGAAAAATATTATTTCCTATGGGGTACCCTACCGTTGGTCATACCCATATATTCATTATTATTCATTTTACCGTAGTCTATTTATTACAATATATAAGTTTTTAGCGAGTAGAACAAAATTTTATTTTCCTTAATCCTAGTGAAATTGACCAGAATATCATCTCTACGGAAAAAATAGTTATATCATTCTTGGTAAGAAATGTTTGTATTAATGACTGTTTATTCCATAGATGGATGGATGAAATGAAATGTAAATCTTTTGATAAACATTTTATGGAATGAAAAAGACAGAGATATTAAGAAAGTATCCAATGCTATAGAACATTCATCAAAAGATTTACGTTTCTTTCCATGTAGAGTCATGATTGACGTCATATAAAAATATGGATGTGACCTTTTTTCAATTCATTCATCCTTGCTTTTGTCATCAATCGATGCATACTTCCATACTGCTATTTGAGAAAAGAAATAATCATTATAGAGCATAATGAATTTCGCTCTAGTTATGATTTTCAACATCAATGAATTGAATATGTTCATATTCATATTAACCATTATTAAATAGTTTTTTTCTTTTTGCCTTTCCTACAACAAAAAATTAATAAAAATGATTTCAATACGGAACTTTATCTTTATTATCTTCAATAGAACAAAGTTTTTTATATTCATGTAATTTCCTTTTCATGCCTATAGCTGATATATCTATCTATTTATGTGTATATATTTCAATAAAAAAAATGAGCTTCTTTTATTAAGATATATAATAGGGATGAAAACAAATATAATATAATCTATTCTTTTTTTGCTTCAGATCTACTAACTATGTCATCATCAGCATTGTCTTTCCTAATTCTTGCATCTTTGATGATGATATCTTATGGTCGACCATCATATAGTCCACCTCAAATTGTGCCTTTTATTTTTCCACCTGTTAATACGGATGGTAGTCGTGTTATAGCTCCATCAAATAGTCCAAATCGATTAATATATGTTATTGAACATATTATTAGGTCAGTTTATTTTGTTTTTAAAAAATTAATATGTTTATTTATATAAAAATTAGATATATTTCATCAATAAGATCAAGTGAAAATTTTATTGAAAATGTTGTCAATCGTCACAAAGAACCAGCTGACAGAATGAAAGTTCTTACATTTTTAACTAAATGTTTTGAACTTACTCGTAATGTTATTGAACGTGAACTTGATTTGATGTTAGCAACATCTGAAACACCAGACAAACCTTTACATTCATCACCATTTACATTAGAAGAATTACAACAAGCTCAAAGAAAACTTAATGATCTACTAACTAGTATTGAAAAGCAAGTGGAATCATTGAAAACTTGGATACCACCAACGATGCCTTTTCTTGGCTTTTTTTAACAGTTCTTTTCTTTCAATTCATATGCTTTTATTGGGAAACATTTTTGAAACAAAATATTAATAAAATATATCTTAACACAAGATTTCATTCAAACTTTTAGTTTGTAAATGAATAGAAAAAAATTGATTGTTTCTTCATCTGGAATTTAGTAAACAAACCATTCGATAAACCGGTACTATTGATATATTATCAAAGAATTTGATTATACCTAAAGGCAAATAACTTCTAAAATCGCTTTTGAGTCAGGAATATTGAAATCCCATAAAATGGTCAGAACATGTTGAAGCTGTTGCTGACATTTCATGATGATATTTTCAGCTTGATACTACGATGTTTTCATGAAATATCCACCAAACAAGGATAAAAAACAGCTAATTTGCCTATCTTGAATTCTGTATGGACTCTCATTCTTTATATATATTTTATTGTTCTTCAGTTCAAATTAGCATGGCAGACTGCAAGGCAGGAAAAAGTCTTTGCTTTTGTAAAGCTTTGTCTTTTTGCTAGAGGAAAATTTAAAAAACGCACTTACAGATCCCGTAGCTTACCATGCTCTTATAAACCCAAGAAAAATAAAAGACATAGAATGACAGATGACAAATAATTTGAAACTATGACAAATTAATTATTTTCGTCCTTTGTTTGATGAGTATCTCATGAAAATATCATGGTATCGAGCTGAAAATTTCTTGCAATTTGACTCTTCTTAGCCTAAATTAGTTTTGAGGAGAAGAGATAGAGCTTCAATGAAATCAAAACCTTTGCCAAACTCAAAATATAATAATCAGAAACTTTCAAGTAAAAAAGAAATTTATACAATTAAATAGCGTGATTCAGATGGAACATGTTAGATTTCTGTTTGCTGTTTATTGAAATATTTTATTAAAAGAGAACTTTATTACTTTTTTTCAAAACAAAATGTAGCCGACAAGATTAATTTATTATTTTTTTTCTTTTAATGCGATATTTATTTAATCCTCTACCCATGATTGAGCCTAAAGGAATAAATGATTTTGAAAATAAGTTGCTTATAAAGAATGAAAAGCAATTAAAGCAAAGCACAAAACATGAAACATATAACACTATGGGCATAGATACCGTGAGTTATGAGCGATGACTTGCCGAGTCGAACCATTTTGGTATGCGAGTGGAATGCATAGACCATCGACGAACGAGTAGCTTGCGGCGTGTAGAACAGAACAGAGTTATATAAACATGGTGCTGTGGGAGGGAAGGCTCGAGCATGATGCTTATTCTCGAGAATCCAACATATTGCCCTTGCGCCAATCCCCCCACATAATTACTTTATTATTGCAAGCCTCGAAGCAGCACTAATTTCCTTATTTTTTCTTCGTAGCTTTTTAGAAATGTCATCATTTTTCTGCTTTCGATTAAAAAACCGTAATTTGTCCTGATATTTCGCGAACTGTCATCATAGGACTATGTCTTCACAATTATGACACGTTGTGCATTATTTTTAATCTATTTTTAAGGTTTTAATTCAAATAGCTATAAAATATTTCTCATCAAGAAAAAAAGATATCATGTTCATTTTATATTTCTTTTAGCTATTTTTTTTCGTATTATTTCATAATCGATTTTGAATAGTTTTCATTATTTTTAATTTATGAATGTTTCTAAGCAGCTATCGTGATACAATTTTCGCCTTCAAAAATCTTCCAAAAGGTATACGCAAGGGGGGGAAAGCGAGGTTTCAGTACTCCGAAGTAAGAGTGAAGTACGGTGTAGCATCAGTGAAGTATTGTACATCATTCATTCTTCATCTGTACTTTGAACTACTCAAGTCTCACTTGTTCTTCCTGGGGTATACGACAACTTTGAAAGCTGTACTTAATAGTTTACTAAAACTATCTTTAAAGTTTCCAAGATAGAAGAGTCAAAATCTGTTGAAAACAAAATAGATTGATTTCAACAAAATTTTACGGCAATTTAAAAAAATTTGATTCAAAGTGATGCAAACTATAACCGTTATCGATGAAAAGCAGAAGGTTAAGGATAATGTCTACAGTTAAATTTATTATATTAAATGTTATTTTTGTTGTTAATAAACTTCTAAGAGCTGGAGTGAGTAATTATTAGAGAAACAAATGTCATGAATTGAATACTATTCTATCCACTTCAATGCAAAATTTATATTGTACAGAAATAATAAAATACGTTTTACAATATTCTGATTTTTCCTATGAGATTGTCCTGCTTGCTTTCCTGATTCCAACATACAATCTATTGTCATCCTTACTAGTGTAATAATTAAAAACTAGAGAGAAATATTTAAGTATTATTATTCAATTTCTGTGTATTCTATATAATGAAAACTAGACGAAAGATAGATCTTTGTATGAATGATTGAAAAATATACTATTGATTTGATGTTTAAAAAATGGTACTCGATACAGAACACATCGACAGATTTGAAGTGAACTCAATGCCGGTCATTTAAATTTGAACAAATAGATTTTTTGTGTATCATATAACTATTTTCTTGTCTACTTTTATTGCTCTATCCCATTAAGCAAAAATATTGATTATCTTTAACTAATGATAAACTTGTTCATTAATAGATAGTTCAAAACAAAATATTTTTTTAATCTCTTGAACTATTTGTTTGGTAGTTGAGTAGATTTTCTTTTAATGAGAAAATGTAATATCTAAGCCATTTCATTCAGGATAGATTGAATAAGCCCCTCGACTAATCATTGAATGCATAGAGAATTAATTATCAAAATAGATTAATATGTTACAAGAAACTTGTTGAATATGATAATGCTCTTCACATCGAACGATATTACTAATCTTATGATTGATCTTGAGATTGAAATGAATAGACTAGGAAGAAGATTGAGAATGAATGGCAGAAATGAACATAAGCTATCACTTTTCGAAATGATATCTTTCGTCTATTAAGCTTAGAATATGTTGTATGCTATTGAAAAATGTCTCCAAGACTTTCAATACATCCAATAGATTCGAAAACATGTTTCCTTAGAGTTTCTCAAATGATGATTATTCAATTTTTACAAACAATCTTTTATCTTTATAAATATAAACTATTCAAAGAATTCAATCATTTATTTTATCTAATCACAAATAAAATTTGACATGTTAAAACATCAGTCATTTATGAACGCGTTCTTATATAACTACTTTTGGTACAAGAAAAAAAACACTTTTTCGATTACAAAACATCCAATCGTTTTTCGTATCAATATATTATACAAGGAAATGAGTCTTAAATATATTATTTTAACCTCTCATAGCAGTAGATGGCAAGTTTCAACTGCATATTTCTGTTAATAAAAAAATATTTCATAAATTTTTTTCTGATACAATTCATTAACAATTCGTCGAAAATATACAATTTTTCAACTTGATGTTTTCATCAAATTTTATTCTTACGCTATTCATTTGTTCCTATTCATTACAGGAAAATGTTCATTTTAAATGAATAGTATAATTAAGTAGCTGGTGTATAAAATGTTTGAAGATCAATGATCCTGAGCAATAAAAAAACAGAAAACTATCATGAAACCGTTGTTGAGTTAAATGCTGATTTCTGACTTCAAGTCTTATTCTTAAAGCTTTTATTCTATCGTATCAATCTTCACTAATACAGATCAGAAGAATAAAATTCTAGCGATAACTTCAGATGTAAAGATGATAGTACAAAATTACATGTTATTATTCGACTTCATAGTGATATCTTCACACTTTTCTGTCTTGTATAGATAATCGAAATATACAGTTTCGTAGAGAATTAAAAGCTGTTTTTTGTTATGGAAAATTTTCATTCAGAATGAGAAGAACCGATTGAGATATTGAAAATATAATGAAACCGTCATTTACTCTTCCACATTTATTTAGAGTGGTCCAGCAGAATGTTAAAAAAATGATTTTTTTTCACATTCTTATGGGTTTTAGAGATTTTCTTATCTCTCATTGTCCCGTTGAGTCAGGTAAGGTCACAAGATAAGGACGATCTATGCTTGATGGTCATCCTTTTGCTAGTAGTTTTTCTCTAACCTCATCAAATCATAACGTCCTAAAAAAGTGAATCTGATTTCTAAAAGCTGTTGAAATTCTGCATCTTTTAATATATTAGTCAAAGTCAAAAAGATCGTGCATGGAGTTTTAGTAAGGGCAACAATAGACCATTTGGATAATCCTTAATAATCAATTTGACTTGTCCTTAATCACTGTATAGACTAGATTTATTTCAAACAAAAGTATAACTCTAGATTCTTGATAAGCATCAAAAACTGAGTATGACAATGCTACTTGGCTAAATGCACACTTTATGAAGTTGGAAAACTAAGATCGAGTATGGACAGCTTGAATTAATTTCAGGGCACATATTTATAATCATTTTAATCAGCTGATCTAGTTTTATATAAGAAGAAATCAAATGGAGTATCTTACCTCATTTGGGATCGCCAAATGCCAAACTTTCAAAGTATTTTTCAAAATTTTCTTAGATGTTGTTATCATATACAGAAAGCTAAAGTTTGTTCTACATCATGATCAAAGCCATATAAAGCTGTTACAACTGCGCCAATTATTAGTAATTTGCATCATTGTAGTTCATTTTTAGAGCCAAATAAATATCATATTCAAAATCAGCACGAAAAACTACGTCAGTTCAGATATATTTCATTGGAATGTATATTGTGTAAAAATTCGACCCTAAGAAGTACCACAGCCAAGTTTTACGTAAAACATAAATTTTGCCAAAATATATTTGATCTGATGTAGATTTTTATGATAATTTCAAATATGCTATTTATTTTACTCTAATATTAAGCAATGCTATGAAAAACAGCTAAATACCAGCATTATTTTAATAGAGTTTGTATTGTTTTGCCGCTTGACATGACAACTGTGTTCCCTACTGAAATCGTGTGCACGTCTTTTTCCACTTTGAGTAATATATTATCAGGTGCAGAATTTCAACGAGTCTTAGAAGCTAAATGTGTTTATTTTTGAAACTCCGTGACTCGATCAAGCTAGAAGCAAATTTCTAGTAAAAGGATGACCACCAAGTATAGACTTCTTTTCGTTTCTGGAGACATAATCAATTACTAAAACTTATTATAATGACTATTGGCATACTTATATTTTGTAAATTTTTTTTTCTGCATTTTTTGATACGTTTCCTTTTTAATAGGATAATCAGAGAGAAAAAGTCCGAAAAAGAACCATAAGAATGTGAAAAAATCTATCAATGAGCGGTTTAGATGGTGGTCTGACAAGCCTTTGCTTAAGATTCATATATTTAAACCTATTTCTGATTAAAAGATCAAAAAATGGTAAATATTATAGAATTAAAATGTTTCTTAAATTTTTAATTTCAATGGTCAGTTACACTTCTATTCTGGTTGGATTGAAACAAAAAATAGAATAATAGCAACAAAAACACAAATTAAATATATAAATATATATGCAATAGAAATAAATACATCACCAAAGACAAAAAAAAAACATAAAATATTATCTATAAGAACTATAAATCGATGAAGGTTTTGATATTCGATTCATATGTGCTTTATGTTTTAATGTCATAACCACAACAAAAACTATAATAATTAAAAAAATAATGAACGCTATAAGAACAGAAATAAAAGCGACTAGGCAACGTTTTCGTCTTTGATTAAAACGTGTTTGTGATATTGGTCGAACTCTATTGAAATCCTATAAAAAAAATGATGACTATTTTTATTTTCAAGATAAAAATGATAGAGCTAACTTGTTGTTTAACTGTTACTTCAAGTACATTAGCTCGAGCAAGTAAATTATTAAGTGTAGCATCATCATGAGCGATTGTTTCATCAATAGCTTCTATTAAAGTATCGGTTTGAGATGAATCACCAATATTATTTTGTTTATCATCTTCTATATCAATTGTTAAGAATTGTTTTGATCCTGCATCATTCTAAATAAATTAAAAATAATGAATTATTTATCTGAATAAAGTAGTAGTTATGCACAGGAATGATAGATTGAAATGAATTATTCATTAATTGATCCGATATTGAAGAATTAATAGCATCATTGGATGTTGATTCACATGATGCTTTAGAAAGAAATAATAAACGTTTATTTTTAGTACTTTTTCTTTTCCATCGTTCCTATAAAAAAAAATGACAATTGTTTTTTGTTGTACAATAATTTATTTAACCATACTGATCCATTTCGACTAGATGTTTTTAAAGATCTTTTTTGATATCTAGGTTTTATATGATTTTCTTTATTAACTAATTGTTCATTTTTTGTGGATAAATTATTCTCATCATCGCTTTCTTCTTTGTTTTTATTGGTTATATGAAATATTCGATAAGAACCATCTTGTCGAAATGATGATTTTTTTTGTAAATTATTTGCTTTATTCTACAAAAAATAAATCATATTTTGAACATTTAATTGTATGAAGAATATGCTTACTTCACTATATGTATCCGTAAATATATTCATTTCTTATTATTCACATACGATTCATATAATAATTTTGTTTCGAAAGATTATGTATAAGCCAATCCTGCCAGTGAAGAACGAAAGATTTGTATGAAAGAAAAACAACTCTTTCTTTCTTCTGCTTTGGATGGTGTCTCAGCTACAATATACTCCTTCTTCTCTCTAATAGTCTTACTCACATAGTAATCATCAATGTGCATAAAAACGAAAGGAAACGCAAGAACAAGCGACACTCCTATAAAAAACGATAATGATGGTTGTTGTTACTCTTGTTGATTGAATATTTTTTGATGATTAATCTTGTTTCACACAAAGCTTAGCAAAAACTGTAACGGTGTTGTCAACAAACATTGTGAAGAACAAAAATGAAAGTAGAAAGAAAAAGAAAAAGAATGCAAGGATCTGAAAGCAAAATAATAGTTATTCATGATCGAATGATGAAATAGTAGTGATGAAGTTTCTATCTGTAATTAGACAATTATATATGAGGATTTCAACTACTTGATATCAAAATACCGTACACTTTTTCTTTTTTTTAATATCACACGATACAATATAGGCAAAGCCAATAAGTGTCATAGATATTTTAATATCAATTTAGAATAAAATGTCTCATTATATTCTTTTAGAATTTCATATATAAAAGAAAATTTTGATTGACGTTTATATTGCAGACATCATAACAAAAAATATATTAATACACGTTCATCATACGAAAGAAGGTCTATACAAAAATAATCCCTTTGGAAAAACTTGATTGAAGAAGAGACTTTTTCATTTATAGTTCTTGTTAAGTTGTGCCTAGTTTTAATAGATCTCTATAACAGTCTAATATCTATTCTTTTTACTTGAACTATTCATAGTTCTTTTTGCGAAAAGATAAGATTCATTCAATGTTTACTATGTTTCAAATGAATAGAAGTTTATAATTAATACAGAAAAGTTGCCAAAAAAATGTGTTTCATGAATATATTACTTTTCGAATAAATATTACATTACATGCAAAAAAAAGTTGTATTTTAGTTTAAATTTAAATTTTCTTATAAAAATTTGCTATTTCTTTAAAAAAGGATTATGACTTCATGTAAGAGAAAAAACAAAAGACTGATATGCATAATCTATGAAAGATGCATTCGTCAATAATAAAAAAGATCGGAAATTTATAAGTAATCAATGAATGTCAATCTTCATAAAAATGAATCCGTTTTTATCTTACAATTATTCTTTAATGACTTAATTTAACTCATGAATTATACAATGAAGCGACTGTAGTTAAATTAATCAATCATAAATACCGAAAAATTCTATGAACATATACAAATAACATACTCACACAGTTTCTGCTGCAAACGATAAAAAATTCTATCCATCTTAGTCTTAGACAATACATCAGACATTTATTTTGTTAAAGTATCTATAACTAATTGTTTTTTCACACTTCGCACATCATTTATATGCATTGAACGTCAAGAGATACGGAGGTCAAAATTTATTCAAAAGACCAAAGTCGAATGTATTTTTATTTTCAGTGAATTATTTATGAACTCTATTAATCTAAACTAAATAACATCACATATTTGTTGACTAAATAAGTCTAAGAACGAGATACATTTTATTTATATTGCATTTCGAAATTGTCCTCAGTAAAAAAATCTAGAAAATTTTACTGTTGACAAAAAGAAAATAACTAATATATTAAAAATACAAAAAACAATTATACATAAGACAACATTGATCACGATTATGAAAATAAAATCAAAGTCAATAAAAGAATCGGAACCGAACCAAATCCCTAAAGTATACACGTACCATTCATCAACCAATTGTATCTGATGATGATTCGAACGTTCACTCGATTCCTTCAGATTTATGCAGTAAATTATTGTACCTTTTTAAAACTATTTATTATCTTTTTCTCTGAAGATATATACCCATAATTATCAGCATTAGTCGTTCTATAGAATTTCACATAATGAAGGAATTTAACGCCCATTAGGCGTATTCCCATAGCAAGAATCAAGAAAATCTAGCGATTCCACTTCACTGTCTTAGAGAAGGACGTCTTCATCTTCAGTGTTCGGATCATGTTGGGAATCAACGAATTCGAGCATGTCAAACAAATCTAACGATCCAATAGAGCGTATTCTTGTTCTTCTTCTGATAGATGTTATACGTTTATTGCTTCCATTTTTTAATTGATTGTATAAATTAAGATTGATAATTAAAGAAAATTTTAAGTGTATGCATAAAAAAAAGTAGATTGCATATGATAATTGTTGCATTTCTGTTGACAATATTGATGATTTAATTTTAAATGTGAATTCAAGTTTCAATGATCATTGTTTAGAACCAAGTTATGTTGTAAGTAATGGTATTTTATAATAGTGTTGTGTATTTTGTTGATGACATGTCAAAATATTGTGTATTATATATTTCTTATAACATAGTTGTTCCGAAGTTGTAAGCATTGATGGAACTCAATGGTTTTATTTTTGAGAAAGTCGATTATTGTTGTAAGAGGCGAACCCTACAAATTGATCTAACGGAAGAAGAGTTTTCGGAAAATGTTGGAAATCGTTGACAACAAAAAAACACATAAAATATCTCGAGATTAGAACAGTTACCTTCCCGTTCTCGTTGAGATACTCGTATTCATATAACTTTACGAACCAAAATCGAATTTAAGTATGCAAAAAAACAATTTCACTTTTTCTATAGCTTGGTTAATTTGGTACCTTATTTATTAACGAACTGATGGACTAAATAAGAAGAATATAAAATAACAATATTCTTTTTGATATCAGATATTTTCCTCCATCTATCATGCATAATAAAATATTTCAAGGAATTTAATTACATGTTAAAATTTCAAAAAATGTTTTTGTTTTTGATTATGTATTTGATTTATTTGTGACGCTTTGGAATGCTAATAAATGTGATGGAATACGGAAAAGGACAACAGGAAAAAGAGGAGAACAGAGATAAATAAGAAAGAAAGGAAAACACGATAACATAATAATCATCATACTATCATCAAAACATGACTGTCAATAATAGACAATAGGCCTCTATGTGGGATGGGATAATCCTATTCTGTTTTATTGATCCGATGGGATGCAACTCTTTGGAAAAACGTCCCATGGAGCAGGATGGGGGGAGAATTTTTAGAATCACCCCATTTCATGGGATAGAAAAGATTTGAAGAATAGCCCATATTATCCCATGGGATAAACGTCTTTTACAATAATCGTTTTTTTTAATTAAGAATAAACTAATCGTCTCTAAATAGATGCCTTTCATCGTGATGTCAATTTGGTTGTGATAAAATTATGAAATACAAAATAAAATGATGTAAAATTTCGTTGTATTAATAGAAATGATCGATATGTTGAAAAATTTGATTTTCAAAATTTGACGAGCGTGACGTCCTAGAAGATGGGACAAAAAATTTTCGTTCCATCCCACACGAAGCCCTGACAGACAAATAATGACTAAGCACTGAGTGTTCGTCTTGAGGCTATAGAAGGAAGAGCGAAAAGTGGGCATAGAACAAAAAAGGAAGGTGAGTATTCATGCCATGAATTGTTACAAACCTTTATTTATTTATGTTTAGCAAAATTTAACCATATTCCTAAAAAAGGATCTTTGTCTCTTTTCTAGCTCTTTCACCAATCTTTTCTGAAAATAATTCCCTCGACTGAAGGGAGGGTCATACGAAATAAAATGCGTTTGTTTGCTTGATTGCTTGATTGGGGTCAAAAAAAACATATGTGTGGGGTTAGCTTATTTTAAGACTTTTGGCCATTTTGATCGAACTTTGCTATAGGTTATCGAGGACCCTGAATCAGAATCCGAAGCCCAATCTTTGGCCGAGGTTTCATTGGTCGGAAACCGGCCAATCAGAAACAAACTTTCTTATTTTAAGACTTTTCGCCGTTTTGATCGAACTTTGCCGTAGGTTGCCGAGGGTGAGAAATCCGAATCTGAAATCAGGATTTCCAAATTCACGTCTCAAATATTTTCGTTCTATGAGTAGTGATGCTGAGAAACTGGAAGTACTTTGTAATACGTGACAGCAGTGTAATGAATCAAGAAATACGAAGATAAGATGGAATCAGAGTACTTCTAGAACAAACATTGAGGAATGAGAGCAAATTACGGAAAAAAATTATTTAGGTTGACAGGATACAATGACTGTGTCCACTTATTAAAAGCATTTCAGATTATCAGTAAGTCCATACTAACGTGTCTTATTTCTGGATATTGATAAACTTGCAAAGAAAATTTCTGATGTGGAGGAATTTTTTGTAACAGATCAAACTTTCCATCAGTTTTTCAAACATGAACGATGGCTCGATTTTGAAAATGATATCAACCTTTTATGAGTGTAAAGTAGCTGGAAGTAGTGACTAGCCGTGAATGGCGTTCCTTCGGGAGGTCGAGGAGCGACTAACTGCCACAAAACTAGGTTTACACAAAATCTGTTTTACGAGATTCCTGTATACCATCAAGCAAGGTCCTTAGAAGAGCGTCACTAAGACTTGATCAATTACACTTTATGTAGAGAAGGACTCCTATAAACATGGAGAAACTCGAGAGGCGACGAGTATATATGTAAAAGATATCTTGCTAGATATAGGAAATCTAGTTCTCTTTAGTTACGAGTAGAGAAGCTTTTGAAGCAGTTGAAGTGTGGATTATTTATGCCTTGAATAAGAAAGTAGTGATTTGTGAAAATGTGTTCAAAGATGGTAGTAGCTAAGTGCGAGTAGCGCCACGTCGTAGCTCCGACAGTGAAATATAGTAGCTCCTATTTCAATTTCACAATGTGTTTGTGTGATATATGGTCTATTAAGCTAGGTTTTTGTGTGGAATCATGTACTTAAGGTTCTTTCGATGGCGAGCTTCATGAAATCTCAGATTGACTAGCTAGGTAAGGGGTTGAAAGGCATCAGGAATAGTTCACCAGTGTTTTCACTTCAGAATTTCTTATGTGATAA